ATGCCTATGTACAAAAATGATAAATACTACAAATCATTATAAAGTTAGAACTTATGAGTGTTGCTGACTACAAAGCATATTCAGTGAGACTGCAATTAATGACATTCTCCTTTGCATTAGGATGTGATGTATTTGTTCTCTATTTAAATGTTAAGAAGGAGTCAGTCATCTTTATTTTGTTTACGAGCTGTCACTGATGCTTTCTTTTTACAAAAGTCCTACACATATGAAGATGAACCCAAGTACCTTAACCACCCTGCCTTATAGGACATCTGCCATCTGCTATCTTCTGTAGATAATGTTGATGTATCTGGCTGTGCAGATCACAACACTAGGGCTAATAAGACAGAATGCAGTTTTCATTGTTGAACAGATTCCTGTAATCAATAATATCACCAGCTAATCAGAAAGGCATTAAGCAAAGTAGCCTTACTGTACTCAGTTTATATTTTCATTTAATAAAACATTGCTGGTACCCAGTCCAGAGTATGCTGCCAGCAATTACAGAGATGGGACACTAGTTGTGTTATTCTGAGGCTGAGCTGGAGAGGGGAGAAGGAGCAGCTGCCAACAAAACCAGTCATGTGTGGCATGGTTCCTGGGGAAAAGAGGCAGAAACAGTGAGAATTGGAGTTTACTGCTAATGGCATTTGAAAGCCTACTCTACTGATCCAGACTAAAATAAATTGTTTCCAACATGCTGGCTGTCATAAAACACTGTTTGTTACACCACAAGTCTCCCTATGGACAGATTGCAGGATGGGAAAGCAGAGGTGGAAGACATGTGTGTCACTCAGTATGGCAGAATATATACCCAGGATCATGTGAGGACCTTCTCTTCTTGCCTAAAGATGTCTCCTTCTCTCTTCTTGCAACACTAACGTGTTCTTCTTTTCTTTAATTTCAGCCTTAGTGTCTTGATTGTATGATTCGTCTTCTTAACAAGAGTTGTGCTCTCCTTTTCTTTCTGCTTAACTTCTCGTTCTTCTTTCCATCTTCCTCACAAATAAGTGTTTTTAATAACTCCAAATTTAGGCACATACAGGACTTCCATCATGAGAAGTCAAGCTATAGGATGGTTTTTTATTCTAGTACTAAGATCATGTCTCTATATTTTTGTGATGTTGGGGAAGTTCTGTCTCTCTCCAAAGGTCTCAAGTGTTAACTTTTCTGTGACAAAAAGACATCTATTATACCATTTGGTATAATTAAAAAAAAAAAAAAGTAGTTGCCTTTGTTTGAAAAGCTGATTCCTGTCTGAGGTTTTACTTATAGAAGCTTAGCATTCTCAAAGGCCAGTGTTGTTGTCATAGATTCTCTCAGTTTACCACATTTTTGTTCTGTGCTCTTCTTAACACCTATAGCATCTCATTCCAGATGGAGTCCATGGTGTCCCTAAGAAACACTTGCTTCAGTTTCCCTGTTTGGTACAATACAAATGGCTTTGTCAAGGAGGAAACTTTATTGAATTGGGCTGGGAAAAAGGCAGTGCAGGTGCACTAGGTCAGTGATGAATACTGCTGTGATTTCTACAGTGGTCAGTCACATCTCATGCATGGGTGAGGGGCTTTCAGACTACATCTAGCCTGGGACTTCACAAGCTTAAGCAGAAGAGGAATGGGTCCTTCTACATATGTGCCATAGGTTATTATGTATTTATCCAAGCTTACTTTCTGTTTTCTTTTTAAATTAGGATAGGAAGGATCTTTTAACACCAGGCAAAACCTTTAACAATTGAAATTTGGGTAGATAGGTTTGTTATCTCTACATGGAAGCAGAAATCAGTGCACACAGAAATGCAGTAGGTACTAATAAAAAGTAGCTGTTCTGTGTAAAGCCTGCAAATATTTCGTAATTATTACATAATGTGTAGTCTTTAACTGCCATTTTCCTGGCTTGGTTAGCTTTTTGTAGGTCTCAGATGAGCTGCAAGTGAATAAATTTAACTTCTTTATTGTGGGTCTCAGAATTATGCTTATTCAGCAGCATGTAGTAACTGGTTCAACATGAGCTGCTTCTTAAATAAACATACAAAAAGCCTGACCCACACTAAATCAATTTAAAAAAATAAAAACTTTAAACCTGTGTTTCCTGTTACATGCTTATGGTTGTCTTTAGTTGCTTGTGATCTTGCTGTACTGTTGACCAACTGTTGTATTGTGCACCACCTGCCCAAAGATTAGATGAGATAGTGAAGTTGTTTTCAGAAGAGGGAAGCAATTAAAATTGTAACCCCTACAGTACATTTCAGCTGATAAAACATCACTTATGCTGGAGATAGAGAAGTCATGAATTTGGCTTACTCTGTTTTCCTGTATTTATTTTCTACAAGGATTTTAAAGGGTTCCGAGTTCATAAAAAGAATGTGTACTTAAGATTAGGCCAGGTTTTCTGTGGTTTAGCCTACCTTCATCCTTCTAGGAAGTATACAAGTAATAAATTGGAGGCATACGTAGGACAATTGTTGATATGGAAAACAAAAAATGAGTGCTTATGTAAATCACCGTATGTAAAGTGTTGATATGGGAAACTAGAAATGAGGACTTATATAAATGCCTGTATATATATATATAACTTATTTGGGAAAAAGCTATATTTTGATCCTTGTATAAAATTGGCATGATGCAATTTCTGAAAGCCATAATGAGCTTCATCAAAACATCAATTAATTACTAATCCTTGTATTTTACATGTGCGTGTAAAATATGTGTTTCTTGAAGTGGGTTATCTACAGAAACACAGTATGCTTGGATTTCAAAAGTGTATCTGAAGGATCAGAAGAAGAGTTTTGTATTATATATAGGAGATTGTTACTAGTATGATAATGCAAATATGAACTTTTATATCAGCATGAAAATATTCAAGCTGAAAATATTAGGCTGTAATATCCCGAAGTGCATTAAAAAAAGATGTAGCAGACAAATGTGATACCAGCAACACAATACACAAATACCTTGTCTTTAAATAATGCCCTTGTATATTTTGCTGCACCTAAAGATTTTTGCCAAAGAGTGACTTTGTTGTGGTTTATATTTAAATAAGTAAATTTGTAAGGGTAAGAAAGGCAGTCACAGTGGGGAGTTTCAGATTAGTACATACAGACACATTGTGCTTGAGGAATTTGGTTCCCAAGGTCATGGTTATGCTGAATGATTCTAAGGAATATCTAGGTGAGCCTACTGCAAGTTATCAAGCTGCTCATAAAAGAAATGAGAAATTCTCATTGTGAAGTAAAGGGGAGAACAATCCATTATGCACATAAACCATGGTATCGTACTCTGTTTTATATATGCAAGCAAATTTCCCAAAATATGTAATTCAGTGCTTTAAATAATATTTCACAAAACAAATATTCCAGTATTTACTTGTATTAGACAAAGTATGAAAATATACATTGGATCATACAATAATCTACTGTGGTGGGTTTTAAAAAAAAAAAACAACAAACTGCATCCATATTGATGAAATAATGCCTTAGAAAGAATAGTAAAAGGCACAGTGGTTGTGGTTAGGTCTCTCTGTGTGGAAAGTTGACAAACACATTCTTAAGTTTTAAGAAACCACATTTAATTTTGAAATACCACTACTGACATAACAGATTTTCAGTGCACATTTTTCTAAGCACTTAGAAAGTTATAGGGACTACTGAACAATGCCATCACATTGCCTCACCAGGAATGACTTGATCAAAATGGCTTTCCTGTCATCCACATGCCTCTGTGGGTACATATGATTAATTACTTAATTTTCTTAATTGCTAACATACTCCATTGGTGACAATGGCAGTGTATTAGCAGTTTCAACTGTTATTTGGATTTGGGCAGCACTGGGATTGCACTCTGAAACAGATTGCATACCTGTAGTTTGCATACCTGTCCTCCTGAGTTTGCAGTTTGGGATGTGCTACTTTACTAGTTATTAATGTTTAGATTATTAGCATCAACTTCATAAAAAATTGCAGAACTGTTAATTTCTCTGTGCAGACAGCAGCTGTATACTAAATCATGTTGGCCCAAGACCTTGAACAGAACAGTAGATTGGATGTCACATACAACAAGGAGCTTAAGCTTCAGGGCAGATGTATGAAATCAATAAAAATAGACTACAATTTGTGATCATAGATTGAAGGAAAAAAAAAGCTAAGATCTCCTTGCTCCCTTATTTTGAAAAGCAGCAATAATATAATGGTAAATTTTTGTTTTAATATCAAATGAGCAGTGCACAGAAGTATAGAAAGGGCAAGATAATTTTTTTTAGTATTTCCCAGTGCTTATTAGCAGAAGACGAATGGCAGTAGAAGACTCCTCTGTTACTGGTCACAGGTAAAATGGAATGGTCTCATTCAATAGCTCTTGAATGTTTTGTTGAAGTTGAGTTTGGCTGTTTCCAAAACTCAGCTCAAGATTGAAGTACTTTGTAAAATCTAATGTCATAGACTTTAAAGGAATCCACAAAGAATGTGGTTCACTCAAAAATGCTTTTTTCTCACTTGTTAGAAGAATTTTATTTGAAAAACACTGTGCTGAAATACAGTGGTAAAAGGATTGAATTGTTTTTCCATCATCTTGGAATGTTCTTTCTAATTTTTATTCTTTGATGAATTTGAACAGTGGGACAGTTGGTTATACTTTGTGGTTAGACTGGTGTGTAGCTGTTCTTTTTGAGGACTAGAATGTGACATCCTGTATCCATTCAGGAGACATGAATCAGTCCTGCTTCCCCACAAGGCTGCTCATACCGGTCTGATTGGAAGAGCAATGAAGTCGATGCACTAGTACATCTGGCTAAATTTAGGAGTATGTTCGTTTGCAGATCTCCCATTGAATTCCATAGGAAAGAGACAGATGCATATTTTTGAAGATTTTAAATTAAAATAATGCTTAATGTAGACAAAAATGGTGAAATCGGTACCTTCATTTTCTTAATTTGGATGTGAAGAAATATCTGATTGGTCTGATTTTGACCTTTGGTGATTTCTTTTCCTTTCTTTGACATTACAGGAGAGCACTAAATCTAGGAATTCTTCGAGACCCTGGATCAGAGGTTGAAGACAGACAATACCAAATAGATCTTCAATCTATCAACATCGGTACTGCTTATTGGAATCAGTTGAAACCAGAGAAAGAAAATGGGAAAGGAGGGGTTTTGACAGAGACGGAGAGAAATTCTCAAAATCCAGCACTTGAATGGAACATGGCCAGTAGGTAGGGATTTTTTTAAAGACTTACTCTTTTCTGAAAATACCATAAACATTGCAGAGAGCATGCACAGTATACCTGAATTAAATAATTCAATACTGGTTTTGCTTTACATTACAAGCACATTTCCCTGGAGTTTTGGATTACACATTTGAAATGGATATTACTGTTGTTGTTACACTGTAGTTACTGTCTAGTTACTGTGTGCTTGGCTTCCATTATAAGCTCTTCTCCAAGTGACTTGCTGTCCGTCCATAAAAATAACTCCAGGGCTGAGACTTCAGCCTATCAGTCTCTATAAGCATAGGAGCTTCTGTTTTGGGGTTTTTTTGGGTGTAGGGTGTGTTTTGGTGGTAGTGGTGGTGTATTTTTTTCTTTTTTTTTCTAAACTTCTTTTGTTTGTGTTTTTACAAAGCTTGAGTAAAACCAGCTTAGACATTTCTAAATTAGAGAGGGATAAAGTAGAACTTTTCCTATTGATTCTGAACTGGTTTTTGCACTTCTGTAACTAAAACCAGATGAATTGTGAGAATTAGATATTTCAGCTAAGTTTCCTTTATTGGGTATTGTATATGTGCACACAAAGCCCCACCCTCTGGTTAAACAGGGTTGAAAGATTAAGCATGCGTACACTTGCCTGCTATTTTAAATTTTGATGTTTTCAGATATAAAACTGGGGGAGTTAATTGGTAATTTGTGAAGATTTCAAATATTTATTTTGGTTTTAATATACTTTTTTATATTTAAAAATTCATGTAAGTATTTTAAAACTAAATTTTATAGACTGCGTAGCAGATTTCAGTTTTCAAAGTGGCAGGAATATGGTCTGATGGCCAAGAGCAAGCTTTCAAATGTAATTTTGTGGATTTAGAAGCATTTCTGTTAGTAAATGCCTCTTTGCCTCTACATTTAGCTATTTATTTTCATGTAAAAGTCCTTTCTATCTAATTCATTCGGAAACAATCTGATTTTTATTAAATATGTGCATATTTTTATAGTTCCTAAAGTATAATTCCTATCTCCATTTAGGCATTGAGTTCCTAAAAGTGATACAGAGAAACAGGCAGAATCATCCAGAAATAACTACTTCCGGTTTAATTTTCAGAAAAATGGGAGATTTTTCTCAGATTTTTCTGAAAGTAAGGCAAGTTGTAGCAAAGGCTGCATGAGGATGGCACACACACTGAGCTTTTTAAGTGATGTATTGATGCAAGGCCAAGAGGGCAGATAAGCTCACTCTGGAGGAGAGCATGCAGGAAAAAGATGTGGTCAATAATAAATTCCAGTTTATCATTGAAAAACAAAGGGCAGGAAAAACAGTTCTAACCAAAGAAATTATAAAATTACAAGGAGTCACAGGAGTGTAGATAAAAATTTTAACACAGAAATATATATAAGATATAAGATCACGTGGTTCTTTACTGTCTTTAGCAATTTATCTTTTTAACTCATATAATTCCATAGACGTTTTTAATTTTAAATTCCTAGCCTTGAGAAATGTGTATGACTTTGTAGTTGGGCCTTTATGTTGAACAAGTTCATTGTGAGGTTCTTTATCCCAAAATTCCACATCCACTGCAATATCTTGAAAAATAAAATTACATTCATTTCCAAAGGACTTGCAGCCAATTTGCAACTTAAGCTAAGATAGTAAAACCAGCCACTGAGAGGTTGGCTTTCCTTTTCCTTGCCATTGGTGACTGAAATCCCACTGCAGCACACTGTGGGTCTGAGCGTTATGGTTATAGATTCAGATGGGAAATTTGGTGGGATTCCTGTAAAGCTAATAGAACAAGGGAAGCAGCTGTTACAGACAATTGTGAGTTCTCTTTTTCATTTTTCTTCCAATTACTGTTTGGACATCCTTCCTCAGCGGACTTCCAAAATGAAGTTTTATTAGAATACAAATAAGTATGTTTGTTTTAAAATTGCTTTTGAATGAATCTTCTACTTAGGTTTTAATTTGGAACAGTTGTAATGACATGTATTAGATTTTCCTTTCTGGTGTGCAATTACAGAATTTTAATTCCAGTATGTTTTCAAGAAAAAGTATGAATGCTTTCTTGTACTTTTGGTTTTAAATTTTACATATTTACTAAAGCTTTTTCAGGATCTTTGCATTTTTGCTTTTTAGTTATCACTCAGTTTTGCTGTATCTGGGTTATTTTATGACCTGTGGAAGTGATGTGTTGAGAACTGGAAGAGCCTGCACTGAGCTCTGCCATCCACGGCACTATTTCCAGCATGCACCAAGAGGGCAGCTGCTGGAAGTTTTATGTGGTGTTTACTATTTCCAGGGTTAATTTTATCTTAATATTTACTGGAAATACCACAAAAGCTTTATGCCTTAATCTAATTTTGATACCATTTTTTAGATTTCTTTAAGTTTCTTAGATATGTTTAACCTGGAACATAATGAATAATTTTTGCTGAGTTATTTTAGGGTTAATTTCTTTGTTTGGTCTTACTATCCTTCTGTTTATTCTTATCCAGTGCTGTGGTATATTAGAATCAGTGAGTTTAAAGATTCTTCTTTGGAATCCGTTTCCTTCATTTTTGTAATACTTTAATGCTATGTGAGGCAGTATAGAATCCAACCTATTCCCAGGTTTTTTTGTAGTTACTTTACAGAAAACCTCAGCATAGATTATTTATTGGATTTATTGGATTATTTAAAACTAAAATTGCAGAAATTTTTAAATAAATTACGTTGTAATTTAATCTACAATTGAAATTTGGTCTCATTTTAAAAATTTGCATGAAAATCAAACCATTTTAAGTCGGAGATCTATGGATATCACACAAACAAGTATCTGAAGGCTTTTGACATAATTTATCATTTAAATGCTTTTGCAATCTTTACTCTGAAAGTAAATCCTTTGAGTTTTCACACCACTTTTTCCAGAGTTCAGTTCTTCTAGTACTTAATATGTTAAGGGGTTGATTTCCATCCCCCCCCCATCCCAACTTTTACACCACAGTTTGGAAAGCAAGCTGTCATACTCTAACTTGTTGAATACTTGCAGGTGTTTAGTGTAATATTCTTCAAGAGGGGCTACAGTGAAATGCTGCTGTGATCCCTCCTGTGTCTCTGCAGGTCATGCCAAGGAGAATGGGGGAACTGGAACTCTCTGGTAGGGTGGATGCAGTCCTGCAGAAAGCACTGTCGAGATGCTGTGCTGTGCTGAGGATCAGGGATCATAACTCTTTCCATTATGAAATGTTTATACTTCACCATGGATGTTATAAAAAGCTCCCTAATGGTGTAATATATAAAAAGAATACTGGAAACAGTCAGACAGTTCTAATAAGGTTATGTACAAATGAAACCTGTCCACATTTATTCCCTTTACCAACCAGCATGTGGGGAGCTGGGAGTACTTAACCGAAAGAAGTTTTCTTGATTGAAAACTGCTTTTTCAGCTTGCAGATCTCCTCCTCCCTCTCCCTCCACTCAATGGAAAAAACAACAGCCCTGAAGGAAATAAAGAAATATATCCTCTCTTGAGGCCTCGCCCCCATCCCTGTGCAATTCTTCTACAGCTCCCAGCAGCAACTTCTGCTTCCTGCAGCCTGAATAAACTTTGTTTAAAAAAAATAATAATTGAGCTTAAACGCATTACTTCTCTGTGTGGTAATGAATTGAGTGTGGCAATATACTGCATTACAGTTTTGTCCTTGGCATACCACCATCTGGAACAGCTCTCACAGAGTACATCAGGGAGCCAATGATCTGTTGTACAAAACTGGACAAAATACCACTGCAAGGATCCTCTGAAAGGTTTCCTGCAGATTTTTCTTTGAATAGTTTTCATTTTCATGCTTTTTTGGAAAGTTCTTGGCAGCTTGCCAAGTTCTAATGAGAAAGATCAGAAAAAAATTGATCTCTAGATCTTTGTGTAAGGAAGTAGGGGCATTCCCCTTGAATCTTTTGGAATAAAATGCAATGCATTTCTTTTCAGCAATTTATTTTAATTGTTGTCTTTTGTGGTACCTTAAGTTGTGCTTGTATTCATATTGTACAAAGCCTTTCTCAATAAGATGGGGTGTTTTATTTTTTATATTAATCCACAGCAAAGAAATGCTGCACAGTATTCTTTATAAGATAGATGTTAGCTTTACTGAGGTCTTATAATACAAAAATAGTAATTCTTTACAGCCAGGTAGTGTATACTTGTTTATTTTCAAATTTTGGTTATTAGATGGTCCTCAAAATGTTGCTATCCTATTTTATTGCCATGTGACATGTCTTTGCAACACCTTAGAAAGCTGAAAGGATGTGAATTAGTCATTAGTAGTTAGATATCCTAATGCCTTCCTAATACATTTGTATATCAGGGATTAGCTGATTTAAACAGCTACATGGGAAGCCTGCAAGAGAAAATTCTTTCATAAGTCTCAAGTTAACATGCTGTCTTAAATAACATCTTTTGACATTTTGCCTGCCTCAATAGTACTAGAGAACACTTTTACTATGTGGCCTATTTCATGCTAATATGTTTTTTTCTTTTTCACATCACAAAATTCTCCATAAGGACTCATCTTTCTGTAGCTAGTAAAATTACATGGTGCAAATGTGCTTTTGATTGTTATTCACGTATTGAATGTATACAAGTTTCTCCCTGACTTAGTGAATTTTTAAGTAAATAGGGGCTCAAAGTCTAGATTCAATAAGATATTATTAAGAAAAAAATACAATTAATAATAAGGTAAACATTTCCAAATTTCACATCTAGATTATGTTTAGCTGTTACTGGCCTGTTTTGTGTTTGTTTGGCTTAGTGTTTTCCACGTCAGAGTCCTAGTAGTAGGACTTAGTCCTACTTGTGCATTTTCTCAGCTTATCCAGTTTTACATCATCACATCTCCTTAATTAGGGCAACATAATCTCTTTGGCAGTCCTTCCTCTTTGTATAAATTCAACGTGCTTCTGGCTGGATATAATCAAATGCTGATGATTTGATTTGATGTAATCAAATGTTGCTCCCATTGCTAAATTCTGTTCTTCACATTTTTTTCTCTCTTCTTCCCACAACATTCTTTGTCATATTAATCATTAGATGTCTTTGCTTTCACAGTACTTCCAGACCCCCTGTCTATCCATTTCCCTTTTCATGTCTTCTTTCATTTGTTTTGACTCATCTACACTCCCTGCTCATCAGACCTCTTCATGTCACTTACCAAGACTGAGGCGTTCAGTGTTTCGAAGAGGCACTGCCTTGCTCAGTGCTGTGTGTTATAAAGGTGTTTGCTGTGAACATTCACACTGTTACTGCAATGCTTTATTCAAAATCCTTCCAAAAAATAATTTCTGTTATAGTATAGTATAAAAACCATAAGACAGGTTGCCACTGTATGGATGTTGTTACGTGTGCTGCTGTTAGTAGTTTGCTTATAGTTCCCTGTCTGTGGGTGTGTTTTTTCTTATACTTAAATTGTAAGCTTTTGAGGACAGAGACCATTTTTGTCCTGTATTTTTGCAATGTGGATCTGTGGTCCATAACCAGGGTTTGTGTTATTGTGCAGATAAAGCCCAGATTCTGCACTGAGGCACCTCCAAACCTTATCACAGTTGCTTAACTGCCTTGTTCCTTTGCGTTAGCATATGGTCTTTCAAATGCACTTACTTTTAAGTGTAGATGATCAACTGCTTTAACATCTTTAAAATACTAGCTTTTCCTTTTTTTTCCAAGACAAATATATAACAGATGCATAAATGAACCAGGGAATGAATGTGCTGCAGACATAGAGCCATCATTACACTCTTCACAATCAAGTTTTTTCATAAGCTCATGTGGCGTACACCTGTGTTAAGTTAGCCTTGCACTTAGGTGCAGTGTGGAAGACTCAATAATTCAAAGTGGAATTTGTTTCTTTGTTCCTTTTGTACTCTTTCTCATATCCTCTCCCTTCATTATTTACTGTGCTCTGTTTGCCTTCTGTTTGTACTTACAATTATTTTCCTAATACTTGATTTGGCTGAGGTTCAAATTCACCCACAAGAAATTCAGAATGTAGTGAGTAGAGCTGGACAGCGATAGCACATAAGGATGATTTTAAAAATAAAATAAAATAAAGCAGTAATCAACATATATTGCCAAAAATGTCCTTTGAGATGCAGTGTACTGGGTATCTAGTATAAATAGTATAAAATATGAAAATTAAGATATGGGAATATGCATAAGCTGAAAAATAATTTGATCAGTGATTGAAGAGAGTGAATTGAGGGTTTGAAGTTCAACAAATAACTTGCTTTTACAGCTCTGTTGTATATATTAAAATCATACTTACTAGCATTTCAAGAAACTTCAAGTATTCTAGTATAGTTATAGCTGCAAGTTCTTTCATAGAATTGTTCTCCTATTTAGCTCTTTCATTGTCCTGAAAGAAAAAGGCATTTATTTCTCATCCATTGAGAAGGGGAAGTAGGAACTGGGTAGAAAATAATTTAGTTGGAAACTAAAATGGGGGTGGTGGCAGGGAGAGAAACAATTGTAGAACTCCAAAATCTCAGACCATTTTCTCAAGTTGAAAATGTTCACTAGCCACTAACAAGTCTGATTTCTAATTTGGGGATCTAATGAGACTAACCTTGTTCTAAAAGCCATCATTAGAGCTCAACAGAGATATAGCTGATCAAAATGTTAAGGCTTTTAAGGTAAGATGGTAGTTTTCTCCACTCACTAATTGGCTTATTCTTAAGCTGCACACTTCTTGAGGTAGTGTGCAGCCCTCTCAGCAGTGAGGGCCATTTGAGGCAAAAGTTTATTAGAGCTGTGCTCTGCCAATACTATCTCTGTGGCATCTGCTCTTAACTTCTGTACACTGTTGTCCTAAATAAATTTAAAACCTTTCAGGCCTACCTCCACTGTATAATTTATATTCCCTTATAGATCGCCATCCCTTCTACATGTTTTGAGGACACTTAAAAAATTACTAGTAGCATTTAAAGCATCAAAATTGAAATAGCATAAGCACTAAAATAAATTTAGTATCTTCTGCAGTATGAATTTTGTATCTTTTGCAGTAGACTGAATTCCACCTCAGGTTATGATTTAACTCTTGGCTTACAAACCCTCAGCATTTGAGATTGTTTGCTTTTCTATAGAACCCATTGCAGAACCATTACTAGACTATGCATCACAATACCCCTTCTTAATCAAGAGATTTCAATACCTGTTCTGCATGCAGTCAAGTAGTTTCTGCATAGATGAGCATATAAGCATATTGGTTAATAATATTAACATGGATAACTCTAGCTGATGGTAGGGACTAATTGTTAATTGATTGCATAGTTCATGTCTGGCTCACTTGTGTGATTTACACTGATGCCTGGACTGCCATGTCTCCATTACAGATGGCAAAATTAAAGTTAATACAGGGAAATGTAACTGACATGCTGATGAAGAGTTCTACATGGATCTATTAACTTCTTCTCTAAAGCCATGTAGTTTGTTCTTTAAACTTCCATCATTTCATAGCTGACAATTTTCTATTTTGTAAGCATAGGAAAACTTATCTTATACCCATAACTTTATGATGATGTTTAGAATTAGCCTCGTGAAATGTGGGTATTTGATTTGCTACAAACAATAACAAGTTAGAAGAATTATCAAAAGCTGGAAGGAGTCTCCCTGGAATTTGAAGTGTATCCTCTTTTAGGGGCTGAACCACATCTTGATCTCATTACATTTTTTTCCCTCATCAGAGGCTCTCAGATGGCATTTTGTGGCAATAGTTTATTTGACCTTACCCAGAAGATTCTGACCATTTGAAATGTGTTGTCATAAGCTATTAGTGATCCATCTATAAGAGTTGTACTTCTAGGCTGACTGTTTGGTTAAGGGTGGAGGGGGATGGGGGAGAGAAACCAACAAAAAACTCAAAACTAAACACCTGGCTCAAAAATAAGTGCAGTTGTCAAGTTTAATGACACAAATATTCTTGGTAAGTAAATGCTGATATTTAGCTGAAAAAGCACCAAAAACAAGCAGTCACAGAAGGAGTTGAGGAAGACTGGCATCCCTGTTTTTCAAATAATTCTAAACATCTTGGACAATAGTTACTGATTTCATGTGGGAGTCCTAGTGTTGCATGGGGTTTGCTAGTTTAAGTTTTCATGTGTTTCATTTTTGTGTCAGTTTCATCATATTTCTTCAACAGGGACTTTTAATGCACAAATTCAAATGTTATGTAGGCTTCAAAACAGCCATTTATAAAGTGAAGGGCATCCACAGGCAAGTTTTGAAAATACTGGTAATAAAGTTTCATCTTCCATAAAATTATTGTGTATAGTGCATTAAACAGGAGAAGAAGCAGTGTCAGGTGTCAAACTTGTCTGCCTGGAGATAGGTTGAAGAGTCAAAGACTTAGACACACTTATTCTGTGAAGATAGAAGTCTGCCTTCAGGATTGGAATTAATATGATTAACAGTAATGATATTTAAAGATTATTAAGGTAGCAATCAAATGCCAAACTAGTATTGAATAAGATTTTTACTATGTGCTGGATGTAAAAAATATGGAAAGGTTTTGCCTCTCGACAATTTATAATGTAATTTAACCTTTCCTTTTCTCTCCCTTTGTTTCCTAGCATAAGGCGGCATCAGGAAAGGAGAGCTATTTTAACTCCAATTTTAACAGATTTCACTGTTCGAATAACTGCAGCTCCTGCCATTATTTTTACAAAAATTGATGCTACAGAGAATTTACACACAGAGGTTTGTACGAAATGTCTACAGGAATAGTGTAACTTTTAATATATGTTAATATATCTTAATATATGCTTTACTATGTTTTAATATATGAATAATCTTAATCTTTTACCACCCCACCTTTTGAGGTGTTCAGGTGTATTTTCAAATTGGCAGCTGGAGAAGGGTCACAAGCTGAAATGTTCTTTCTCTGCTGGAGAAAGAATTTTTGTATAGCATTTGATACTAAAGGTAGTCCAGCCAGAGATAGATAAGCCTATTCTCACTTCCAAAAATGGGAATAATTTAATGATTTCCAGCAATATTTTTTAAAGTTTGTGATGGAAAAGTGTTGAGAAGAGTTGCAGCATAACAAAACATTGTATTCACAAGCTTCTCATAAAGAAACCTGAAAATGCTATCTGTAGAAAATGCTATCTATAGTAATAAAGTTAAGCTGAGTTCTCTTAGCCAGATTTCAAAGATCCCAAGTTGCCACTAAGCATCCATTTTCCTGCCTTTGCCATGGGAACTTCCAGGCACTCAGATTTAACAGTCACTTTTGGTGGTGTGTTGTTCAGCTAGTTAAGAATAACTCTGTGAAGCAGGTTATACACAAGAGGTGTGTGGCTGACTTTCTGCAATTAGTTTGTAGCTCAAGAACATTTTATATAGGGAAGAGATCAGAAAATTTTTGTCAGCTTGTAAGGATAATTTGCCTTAAAAACTACCTCCTAAGAAGAGCAAAATTGGTACAGGAGTGTAAAGGGTACTAGAGATGTATTGCAACATACAGTGGGTGTACATTGTTGGAAAATAACAGCAAGTGGGCATAGAGAGGAGAAATCAACAGTTTCACATACTGTGTAAAGGGTCATCAGAAGGGCAAATGGAAAATTATTTAATGTAAAAAAGAAATAGAAAGCCTCAGTATGGTTAGGCTGCATAGAAGTTATTCAAGTTTAAAAAAAAAATCTGAGCTTTGCTAATGCTTATGTTCAGGAATTTCAGTGTTTTCTGTAGATGCATTCTTCTTGTTATCTATTCCCTGGATGACATTCCATCATGAAGGGAGAGGTCTAGTTTAGATTAAAGCTTGAGCACTGTGCAAACTTCTCATGAGACAGAGCAGTTCTTCTCCCCTTCTGTCTGTTTTTCATCTCTTTATTGCTTGCCAACAGTGGTGAAGATCTTTATTTGTTCTAGACAACACCAATAAAACAGTGCCTATTCAGCTGGCGTTGCCAAGGTATTAAGAACGGCTTACAGGCAAAGAGAAATCAATCAGATTGGCTATCAGTGAGTTTCAACACATGATTTCATTATAAATCAAGCAGAGTTTGTGTTTAAATAAAAAATAAAAAAAGGATATCTTTTTCTTGGAAGGAAAGGAGAATTGGAATCATTGCCAAGGACACTCTGACAGCCTACTGATACTATCAAGAGATGGAAACAAGTCCTTGTGCATGAGGTGCTTTTCTTGCAAAGTTGAAGCCATGCAAGGAATAAGCCACATCCTTTAGAAGCATGACATGCCAGTTTCTCCTAAAAAGACCACATTTCTACTATATATAATGTTATATATAATGTTAAGTATTGACTGCAGCAGGGAACCACAATACAGTTATATAGAAGGTGAAAATTATTTTCCCAATGGCTGTTACATAGTATTTTCCCTTAATTTCACAGGAAATTTTGGTGTGTGGTCATTCTTTGGAAGTGAATATGACAACAAATTTGGACTTCTTCCTCAGTGTGGCTCAAGTGCAACTTCTTCAGCAGCTGGTACAAGCTAATATGGTTGGACTGGAAGCTTCCAGTAGCACCACTGAGGTAGGTTTTTCCCTGCCTTGCAACTGGATGTTTTAAAAGTCCATCTGCAAAGTACTGTAGCTCTGAGCAGGTGTTTGTACCATGTAGAAAAAATTGTATAGGTAAAGGAAATGCATGTTTTTTGTTGTTTGTATGGTCAGTTCCAAAATGCATTCTGATCTTGATTTAAGAATAGAAGGAGTGTTAAGAGTATTATTCAGTAAATGCTGTTTTTATAGTGGTTCTGCAACATCTTATGTACAAGGAGAATTATGTAAATTATCAAATTTTTGAGAAGTAGGTTTTTGAGATTATTTGGTTGAACTTTCGAATCTTTGGTATTTTCTTGTGAATTCACATGCTGCACTGTCCTTCACTAAAGCTAGTAAACTATGAATCTTCTCTATGCCTAGTAACTACTACTCACATTAATTGTCTTAGGGACTCAAGTCCCTAAAATTCAATCCACCTCTGAATATTTTCATAGTTCTTTAGCAAGAGTATTGGTACATTGTGGGGATCCTGTATCTGAACAGCTGGAATGTTAGTGATTAGTGATCAGCAGCTATCTCTTGAATTTTGTCATACTTTATTACTGGGACTTGATACCTCAGTTTATATTGAAAGCCAATCATTGTCACAGACTGGTAAATTTAAGTTTCACACTTTGACAGCCCACTTTTGGGCTGATACAACCAAAACAAAACAAAAAAACAAGCATAAAAATAGAAGACAGGGAAAACTTTTGCCCTAAGAAAAAATATATATGTCTTATCTTCTGAACTTGGAATCTAGTCAGGCTGACAGCATCTTTAAGATAGAAGGTGTTAATGAATGGCAAAGCACTAAGAACACTGGAATGGCTGTTGGACCTATTGAGGTACCTTCACAAATAAGAACAAGAGTTGGGGAAAGAGTTATTGAGCAAGACCCAGTCAGCTATTCCAAGAATCTGGCTAATGGGAGACCTGGAGAAGATTTTCTCCTTCCTTTCCTGAATCTCACAGTTTCAGCATTGCACGTGAGTCTTCGTGGAAGCAAGGAATGCTCTAGAGCAGCCAAACTATTTACATTCCTCTGTCTTCACCCTGTCAAAATCCCAGAAGTTCTTTGTGCTAATCCAGGCATCACATCACCCCCCATTCCTTTATCTCTTCCCAAGGATAGGGAGAAATAAAGGGCATTGTTTCATTAACATTTGGAAACATGAAAGATGTAGAAAAGAAATCCAGTGTCTTTTCCTTTTACTTGGATATTTTACAGACACAGGGCCTCTTTTGGAGATGAATACAGTAAATTATATATAGAAATATCTTCAATCAATTATTTGGTTTCCCATTGTCAGTGGAATGGACAGAATCAGAAGATTTGAATAGATGCCAAGAATTTAAATTTTGAGTTGGCTTTGTGCACAAGTTCTGCATGACTTACTTGGACTGTAAAAATTTAAAAGAATTTGCTACAAAATTTCAGAAAGACTTTTGTTGAATACATCCTGAGATACTTACTTGCTCTTTATCGATAACTCCCTTGCATCACTGCTGCCTTGCATCACTGAGGTCTCCTGTAATGAATAAGGGGGATATTTCTGCCTCAAGGTGTTTGCCTTGCCTTTAATAAGTGATAGAACTACATCTGGATTTACTATATTGGAAATATAAATCCATTGGTTGGTTGCTTTTTGTCCAGTTCTTCTTCAGTAGTGTGTAGCTCTGTGTGCCTAAGTGAAACACCTCACCCTCTAATACATACACATTTATTATTATTCTTATGGTTTTTCTTTAGTCAGCAGAAAGAAACATAATACATTGATTGTATGCTGCTGTTTGCATCTTAGTGAATGGAATCAGGAGTCTGCACATAGCTTTTCATACTTTACACCTGCATATTATTTCATTGCAAGAATCAAAGCATAATTTATGTTGAAGACACTTCTGGAAAGCATTCCTTTGCTCAAAAGAAGACTAATGTCCAAGCTAGATTAGGCTTTTCAGGATGTTGTTCAGTCGAATCTTTCTTTACCTCAGAGGAATGGCCATCTGGGTAATTGTCCTGTGCTTAATTACCCTTGCTTTGGGATATTTTTGTCTTTATATCCATTCAGAATTTTGCTTGATAAAACATTCAATCATGGCCTCTCAAAATTTCACAATACCTTTCCAAGAGCAGTCTGACTTAATCTTCTTTATAGCCCTCCTTTAAGTAAATGGAAACAGTAATTAGATACGCCACCATCATCCTTATCCTTCTCTTTCTCTGAAAAATCGTAGCTCTCTCACCCTCTCCTTATAAATTCTGTGCTTTAACCTTTTAATCCTCTTGATAATCCCCTGCCCATTCAGGTTTGTCATTCTTCTGCTGTTGAGCTCAAAGCTAAAGACAGTGCTCGGGATGTTGACCTGCAGGTATCACATCATCTCACCTCTGATCCAGTGGCTGTGCTGCTGCTCGTGCGTCCCAGTAAATGCTCAGGCTCCCACACTACAGGGACAAGTGTTCAAGTGATCATGGGATCACATTCAAAATAATCACATGTTCAACTTGTTGAGCCACCAGGACTCTTGGGTTCCTTTCTGCAAAGCTATTCTGTAGCACTGGCCTCCAGCCAGTTTTTGATTTGGGATTTTACCACTCACCATTTCACAGAATCCTTGAGGATGGAGAAGACCTCTGGGATCGTCAAGTCCAAACTTTGACTGATCATCCCCTTGTCAGCTGGACCATGGCAAATGCCATGTCCAGGTCCAGGACTCTGTGTTTCCCTTTTTTCTTCGTGAGATTTCTGTTAAACCATTTCTCCATTTTGGCAGTGTCCCTCTGAATGGCAGCCCCTACCTCTCAGTGTTTCAACAGCTCCCCCCAGTTTGGTGTCATCTGTCTTTGGATATGTTTTGTGCCCTTGCCAAGGTCTTTAATAAAGACATTAAACATGATGAAACCATGGGGAATGTCCGTCAGTAACTGGAGTTTAGCTGCACTTTGGAACGTTGAACATTACTTTCTGGTTTTAGTGGCCCAGTGTGGTTTTTACCCACCTCACAGTCCATCCATTCAGTTCACACTTAAGTGTTCGAATAAAAGTCAGCTGTGGAAAACTGCCTAGCCTTGGACAACTTTGCTAATGTCAAAGCACATGTTATCTAGTGCTCTGTCCTCAGAATCAGTCATCTCATCATAGGAAGCAATCTGAGGTAAACATGACAGTCATCAAAGTAGCAACCCCTTGTTTAAACTTTAAAGGTGTGATTTCCAAATGGACTGTATTTGGTGGTTTACAGGGTAATGCTGTAAAGATTGTGTAGACAAAAAAAAAAAGAAAACAAAACAAAAAATAAGTGGTGATTTTGGGTAAATCTCTTTTTTCTTCAAGTGTTTTAATAGTCTTTAAAAAGTTTCATGCCAGGTCTCCAGTGCTATGTTTTTACTTATTATAAGACCTAGCTTTATACTGTTTTATAAATCTTTGATGTACAGTGGCCCTATTGTACTGACTTCTTCATAAGGTATAGTCTATTATTGCAAAGAATATTGCTTTGATCTACTTGACAGCTTTAGAGTAACGACACATATGTGGTGTTTGATAGATTACCTGAGGGGTAAAGAATGTTGCTGCCTTTTTGTAATTATTCACTTTTCCAAAATTAATATATGCCAAATTCTTAGAAGAAGAATATATAATGTCTACACGTGGAGAACAGAAACAGAAGTGCTAGGAAATTAAATACAAATATAAGAGTGAAGTGCCATTAATGTCCTGATTTTGTTCAGTGGTACATCTAATATTATAGGTGAAATATCTATAAAAGGGCGACATTTCCTCCTTCTTAGAAGAATTTTTAATATTCTGGTATTTCCAGTATAAATGATAATTAGCTTTACTGCTGATCAGTGATAAAACAGGTGAATTTTCAAGGAGTTCATTTCTTCATCTGGCAAATCTATTTCCTGGTGTCCATCACTTACCACCTGGAGATTTCTGGCAAGACTTATTTGTCATACTATCATTTAGAAGCAGAAAACACAAGAACTCCTCTTTGAAAAAGAAATTAAATTCAAACCAACACACATCTTGGTCTGCTGCTGACCATATAGGAATGCATGAGTAACATATCTAACTGCAAGTCAGTGAATGTTACACTCCTCAAGTATGGCTACTGAGGTCATTAGCAACTTTTACTTTCCAGTAAGCTTGAGATTAAAGCTAGGCTTTTGGGAAAAAAATAATATGTACAAAAATTATTTCTTTAAATTTGTTCTAAAGATTGTTCCTGTCTGATAACTACACTGGAGGCGTTGAATGCAAAGAACATTTTCTTTGTATCTTGCTTGAAAAACTGAAAGGTACTTAGAAAAGCTTACTTTTTCTTCACAGTATCTCTGTGAGGATTATGGCTCTCGATGAAGAGGATTGCTTTTAAAATTCAAGGCAACCTGAAACATCTGAAATATTTTCCAGAGGATATCCATTGAAAACATTCACTCACTTTCTGTTCCCTATGGTATATTCTCCTTATCCCCTCCATCACAGAGTCAGTCACACAATGGGTCAGGTTGGAAGGAGCCACAGTGGATTCTCCTGTCCAACCTCCCTGCTCAAGCAGGGTCCTCCAGAGCACATGGCACAGCATTGTGTCCAGATGGTTCTTGACTATCTCCAGTAAGGGGGACCGCACCACCTCTCTGGGCAGCCTGTTCCAGTGCTCAGTCACCCACACAGTAAAGTTCTTCCTCATGTTCAGGTGGAATTTCTTGTACAGCACTCTCTGCCCATTGCCTTTTGCCCTATTGCTCAGCAGCACCAGGAAGGGCTTGGCTCCATCCTCTTGACACCCTCAGTTAGTTACTGATAGACATTGATAAACTCCCGTCTCAGTCATGTCCTCTAAAGTCATTCTCAAATAGCCTTTGAGAATAAAGCTCCTCAGCCTTTCCTCATAACTGAGGTCCCCCCTCATAATCTTCATAGCATTCCATTGGACTCACTCCAGGAGCTCCACATCTCTCATGTACTGAGCAGCCCA